TAAGCTAAAATATATTTACATTCTCTTGATCACGTCTTAAACTAAAATATTTTTATATCCCGGTAACCAAGTCTTAAGCTAAAATATATTTACATCTTCGGGAACACTAAAACTTAATTTCAGAAAAACATCCTAAACTGAAACTCACTTACATTCGCGGAAAAAATCTTAAACGTAAATAAATTTACAATCTCGGGTACACGTTCTCCGCTAAAATGTAATCATTTCTACTAGACCGCTCTATACTAGCGCATGTTTACATCAGGAATCTTATGGACACAAAGTATACAATCCTACTTCATGTTAGGATAAGCAAGTAGAAATGCTGGAGTAGATCGACATGATGGCACTCTGTCGAGGTTCGAGTGTTTCAGTGAATTAAAGTAGTGTTCTTCGTAAATTAAAACCTAATTTGATATTACTGTTTGATGGTGTTTGAATAAGGATATGACGTAAAGTTTGAATTTTAACATAATGTAAGAAATTGTATTAAGTAGGTATTGAACTATTAGTGTGAATAAAGTAAAAATGTAGTTTCCGAGCATTGATAATGACCTGATTTCAAATTGATCAGAAATTCAATTATTCGAGGATATATGATATCATCTTTAAACCTGTTTTGTTATAAGTGAAATAAGATAAAAATCAAACTAAGTCGCGAGTCATATGTTTGTGTCTTTTTGCTTATGCATACATAAATGTCCAAGTAAACATTTCGATACTAGATTAAAAAGACGACAGATTTTCATTGCTTTGACTTGGCAGCTGAATTAACGCTTAACATCTCTGAAAGTAAATCTTAATGAAAGAGATAGCGAGAAACGTTACTTTTGGCGGGATTATGGTGACTTAAAGATAGCCTTTGTCCCTAGTTTTCGTTAAATTTTTCCAACAGCATTCCCTACAAATCATCTTCCCTAATAGATGACATTTTTCCCAATAAATTTTTCGTTTTGCAGTATGCTATAGATAGGTCAGTGTTACATGCATTTGACCATCGCTTAAGATTACCTGATTTTCGTATGTTGCACAGAAATATCAAACATTTTCTTCTGAATGTTCTTCACGAAGATTGGTTTTATGACGCCTTAAAAGTTCAGTTTTTCCGAATTTTGTATTAATCACTGAGGAGTTATCGCCCTTTAGTCATTCATAGAGTTGCGAATTCATAACAAAATGATACTTAAGCGATACACATAAACTTTTAAGTAGCGTAATACAACCGATAGATGTTTAAAGGAACAATTTAACCAAGTATTTAAATAGTGATTATCGTTGAGTTTTATTATTCACATTTTAACAAAGAATATTGTGGTACTATATATATGACAAATGTTCATGAAAATTATGCCTGACGCATTAAAAAAATGAAAATATATTAATTTCAAGCATTATCGAATAATATTTACATTTCGATGAAAGTATATATGGAGATCTTGAAATATTAAATTGTCTACTAGATTTAATTTTCATTTTATGATATAGAAACGTGAATTCCATTCCTATATACATACTTATTGTATTTAACTTTTGTCAAATAGATATAAGTAACAAATGAAAATAGTACATTTTTAAAAATTACATCTTGTATATTGTTGAAATCTTATTTAACATGTACTTCTTGTTGAATCATTGAATTGCGGATTTTCATATGTGGAGTAAGTGATTTCTTTAAAATTTATAATGCCAATAATACAAAACAATTTTTACCATTTTTACGTATATCATTCTAATCTGACTTGTTAAATAATTGAATTGCAGTGTGGATCAATTAAATGTTTTAGTGTGACGTCATTATATCTAATAAGCAGATGCTAGTTCATTAATAATGTTGTATTAAATTTCTGTTATTCCATGTTTCGGATGTTTTTTTTTAAGTTTCTAAAATATTTTTTCATTCTTTATAAGATAATTTTGATTTTAGAGATTGTTAGTCACAGGAGGAATCAACCTGCATGTTGTTGTCTATTTATTATATATAACCTTGAATATACAACACACGTCAACTATTCTAAATTATTGAATTTTCCACTTAAATGTCATACTTGTATAGTTTTGACAATTAAAACTTTTAAATATAAATGAGACCGAATCCAAACTTAAGACATGACATCTATTTTTAATTTTGTATGTTAACACGAAAGTTGTACAAACTGTATAAAAAGATAACTTGTTTAAGTGATGAAATATAGAAACAATTATATATTGCACTTTCTGTTTTCCACTTTATTGCACGGGTATAAACTTCGCATGCAGCACTAGATGAAACGAAAGTATTGAAAATGAATATTCATGATCAAAATAAGCCCTCAGTATTTTGGAGGGACAGATTATGTAACCAGTTCATCAAAACCTTCGTTTGATTTTATTTCACTTACTTTTATTTTGAGAAAGATTCTATAATATATTATAAGATCTAAGAATAAAACTAATGCTTAAAATTGGGATTTTGCGATATCTTATGTGTATCTTATCATATATCAGACATGATTGGGTAACGATATACAGTCATTAGGTTTCCCAGAAGTGGTGAGAATTCGGCCTCTGTTTTCGGCTAGAAATTCGGTTTTTCTGTCCCATTGCTTGTCTGTTTGTCCTTTTAACATGTTTTTACGACTCGAAATTTTCCGTAATTTTTTCCCTACATTTGTTAAAGCTTACTTCAGCACATATAAGAAAATATATGTCTTAGCTATTTTCAATGCTGTAATATTGTGATCTATCTTATTACCGACAAAACGTTAAGAAATCTGACCGCCAAATATAATGCTTTTATGCTAATCATTTTACAGGGCTTGCACTAGTGGACAAGAAGATTTTTATACCAATAACTAATGTCAGTTTCATGTTCAATTTGGTAAAATTAAAAAAAATATTTTTAATGTTCGCCTTGCTTAACATTTAAAATAAAATTTAATAAAGAACTTTGCTTAAGCTGTTAACACATAATAGGTATCAATACAAACTGTAGCAAGTTAAATATGACCAGTTTTAGGTGAAAATAAATTGCATCTTTTTCAGTTGAAAGAAGTTATAAGTTGTCTCTGATTTATGCAAACTAATAACATAATATATTCATATTCATTAACAACTTTTGTTTTCTGTTTATCAACAAATTAAAGGAGATGAACATTTTATATCGATCTACGAAATGGGTTTGAATTTACAGCTACTTGCAAATAGTGTGTTACAACATTGATTAACGTTTGTACATGTACTGGTTGTGTCTTTCATGGTATGTTGCGATTTTCACCAATATGTAGAAAATAGAAGTAACAATAAAAACGGCATGCTTTTGTTTTAAGGTGTTAGTTAATCATATACTTCATTGTCTATGTAATAATTTCAAGCATGTTATGTAACAAGTTTATAAGTATATTTATAGTACCAAATGTCTAAATCGAAATATTTATTATTCTAATCGTCAAAACCCGAAATGAACACAACATCATAAAACCTCATGAATATTGTCTTAATTAATAACATATTAATAATTTATGAATGGTCATATGCCAGTGGTGTGAAAAATTTAATTTTGTCTGGTAAAATTATTAGTTAAACTAAAAACTTTATTTGACACAATTTTCAAATAAATCGATAATTCTGATTAGTAATCAGTTGTAAGCTTGATTAATCGTTAAAGGTATGTAATCTTACGAGTTCACGTTTCTGTAAATTTTCCGTTGGTTGTGTTGTATTAATTTGTTTTTTTTTAATTTTTTCCAATTTTTTCATAACACAATAAAGAATTTAATCCTTGTAATAAAACTCTGTTATATATTAAATAAATAAGCTATTGAAAAACATATAAATGATACGACCATCTGTTTCTCTGAACAATAAAAATGCTATATGACTAATATTTGTGACTTATCACTGAATTAAAACATAAAAGACATTTCAAAAGAAGAAAAATTGATCATATTTCAGAGAATTTAGAAATCAAATTAGAAATAATCTTAGAATCATTTGCATTATTTAGTCGAATAAAGGCATTAACACAAACAGTGGTATTGATGTTTTTTTTAAAATTTTAATTATACAGTTTTACACTGAAAATGATAATTTTTAGAGAATCTGTCCCCATTACTTATGTTACCATTAAACAAATTTTATGATGATTTATTCTGTGAGAATCGGCTTCTGCTTTCAAGAGCTGTTATTTTGAACCCGGACATTATAATATCCGATATAAATTACCAGAGATGGTTTTTTGTAATTATTGTTGCAATACCAGTGATATAGATATGTAATCAACCTTTAGTATACAGGTGGATGGAAACTACTGCAGGTTTTTAGACTGAAAAGAATTGAAGAGATGATTTTGATATTAAGATCCTTTTAAGCATTTGTATAAGTGATCATACAAACTATCTAGAGGTAAAACTATTGGCTAATTAAAGGCACAGATAATACTAAAATATAGTATTTTACTAAATACATAGTATTTCTAACTAATTATCCTGCTACAGACTCGATTTCATTAATCTAAAAGAAATTTATAATTTATACGCGGGTAGTCCCGCCTTTTTCATTTGTTGAGTGTATGTATATGTTGTGTATACCATGATGTAACGGCGATCGATCCTACTCATGTAGTCTCGGTATATGTAACAGTAAACCAACGCGTCCACTTAAAATGGATTCCACCCGATCTAGAAATAGTTGAAGATATTTTTAAAATCGATATTGGACCACGTGGTAATTTTTTTATATATAACTATTAAATCTTATCGACTTATTTGTCTATAAATTGTTTGTGTAGAAACACAGCCCATTTTTAGTAGAAGGAAATTGAACATGCTACCCGAATCACAAGATATCGCGTCATACCAGGGACGGAAGCCTCACCAAACAAAACCAAAACGCTGAATTAGCATCTTTTCGTAAAATGTAATATAAGATAATTTAGAACAAGCATGCAAGCAAGCGTTTGTTGGTTAGTGATGTAGCAGGCGTAATATCCATACCAAGACATTTTGAAAATATGACAAACTCACCTTCACAGAAGTTTCTCTGTCCTCTCATTAATGCCATACAGTCTACAAGGGATGTCTGGAAAAATAGAATTAACATATCAGACGGACTGTGTAGACAATTACCACCTTAATGGGTTGCTTTAAGCATGCTATTTGTAATCTGTTACCAAAATACGTGATCGTCAATAATTGAAGGGATAAAAATTAAATAACACACAGGGACTATATTCCGCGGATGAAGCGTCTCATTTTACAGTGATAGCATTTGGATTAGTATTCCTACGCGAGTTCATTACTTTTGGTGGGAAAAATCTTGTAGGATGCAAGACGGCTGATGACTGCTTCTGTCAAAGCTTTGCCTGTTCAAAGGTCGTGTTATAGTACACATGATTTCGTACCATCGATCAGAAGACAGAGAACCAAAGAATCACGGGGACAATGATACAGAAACCATTTCAATACATGTGGGTCACCGAAGGTCAATTCTATACGGGTCCTATGTCTGTGGTCCATGCTGGCTGTGCATAATGCTGCTGGAACTCCAGCGAATAGCGATCATCGTATTAGCATGTTAATATCAGGCATTTATTACGAAAAATGGTTACAAAATATTTTTGAATTGCCTTCGTTTCCGTCAGTAAAGAAGCATTTGTTTTCCCTTATTTTGCTTAAATGTGTTTGACAAACATCTTATGATTTGAAGTGAACAGTACATTGGATTCAGTTGATCGTTAACTGGTTCGGTACGAAACCAAAATATCACGACTAGGATTAAGATCTAATCATAATATTTCTATATGTTTTATTTAAATCAGAATTCAATAACTTTACCATAGTAAAAACTCAATACAAAAGTCAGAATAAAATTCGTTAAAGAGGATCTTCAACAGCGACGTAAGACCTATTTTTCTGATTTAATTATGCAGGTCGGTATTCGCCGTTAATTGTGGGAAGTCGAAATAGAACTAGTGGAAATATCCACATCCATAACAACACGATAGTTTGGGTTTTAACATAATCAATATGGTGTCAAACATTTTATTTAATATTTAATATTAACGGCTAATTCTTGAATCATTACAAAATCATGATATTACTTCGTTTTACACCGTCACCTGTAGATTTACCCATATGCTTAAATATTAAGTTTACCCATATTCATGTCCATTAAGTTTACCCATATTCATGCCTATTAAGTTTACCCATGTGTATCCCATTCAGTTTAATTATAAGGATGTCAATTACGTTTACCCATATGCATGCCAATAAAGTTTACCAATAAGAGTGTTCATTAAGTTTACCCATATGCATGCACATAAAGTTTACCCATATGCAAGTTCATAAGTTTACCAATATGCATGCCCATTACGTTTACCCATATGCATGCCAACTAAATTGATCCATTTGCAAGCCAATTAAGTTTACCCATATGCATGTCCATTAAGTTTACCGAAATACATGCCCGTAACGTTGACCCATTTGCATGCCCATTAAGTTGACCCATATGCATGCCCATTACGTTTGCCCCTATACATGTCCATTATGTTTACCCATATGCATGGCCATTAAGTTTACCCATATGCATGGCCATTAAGTTTACCCATATGCAAGCCAGTTAAGTTTACCATATGCATACCCATTAAGTTGACCCATATGCATGGCCATTACGTTTACCCATATGCATGGCCATTACGTTTACCCCTATGCATGCCCATTACGTTTACCCCTATGCATGCCCATTACGTTTACCCCTATGCATGCCTATTAAGTTTACAAATATGAATGTCCATTATGTTTACCCATATGCAAGCCAATAAAGTTAACCCATATGCATGCCCATTAAGTTTACCCATATGCATGACCATTAAGTTGACCCATATGCAAGCCAGTTAAGTTTACCATATGCATACCCATTAAGTTGACCCATATGCATGCCCATTACGTTTACCCCTATGCATGCCCATTACGTTTACCCCTATGCATGCCCATTACGTTTACCCCTATGCATGCCTATTAAGTTTACAAATATGAATGTCCATTATGTTTACCCATATGCAAGCCAATAAAGTTAACCCATATGCATGCCCATTAAGTTTACCCATATGCATGACCATTAAGTTGACCCATATGCAAGCCAGTTAAGTTTACCATATGCATACCCATTAAGTTGACCCATATGCATGCCCATTACGTTTACCAAATACAAGCCAATTAAGTTTATCCCTATGCATTCCATTACGTTTACCAATAAGAATGTCCATTAAGTTTACAAATATGCATGCCCATCAAGTTTACAAATATGCATTACATTAAGTTTACCAATAAGAATGTCCATTAAGTTTACCCATAAATACAGCCCAAAAAGCAAGTTGTACCTATGTCTATGTAACAGTGTACAAAATGCCAGTGTGCATTTGCAAAGCTAAACGTTTCACGAATTTCCACGGTAATGCATCAAAATTAGCATTAATTGATAAAAGAAAACAGTTAATTGTGTTACTTGAACTAAACAGTACTGAAACGTCAGTGTTATCAAGGAGATGAACAGTCGCTTTTTACGATTGATAAACATATGTGATGAATTTATCTTTTGGTGTTCGCACTGGCCAGGTGTTTTTATCATCTACAGACATTGTGTTATATGATTTATTTTACTTACACACAACAATAAATGTTCTCTGTATAGAACACAAACTTGTACAGACCTCATTTGGAATTGTCAGTGACATATAAAACTGAGAAAATTACGTAACATCTAGGTACACATCAGTGCAGATGTTTTGAAATTACATATAATGTAAGAGAGTTGTATGTTATCTGTTTACAGTATATAAATATTCATTCAAGTTCAACAGGTGTGAGACCGAATACAAATAGTGGCCTACTCAACAGTCATCAGCCGTTTGACAATCAAATTCGATAAGAACCGAACTTTTTACTTCCTTAATCAGTCTACGAGGTTAAATGTGTAATATTGTATACAAATATCTGACAATTTTCGTTGAAAAGAAAGCAATGATGATGCAATCTAATTCATGTTCTTAAATCCAAGAATCTAATGTCACTCAAAGAACAGAAATAACAACCAAAATTGAGTTAGTTGTGATGTTATCTAATCAATTGAAGTAAACAAAATGTCCAAACTAAATCTGTCGATAGGATACTGAATTGAACAGTCTCAGAAAGTGGATAAAGAAGTTTTTGATAAATATTTCTGTAGGCATTGCCGTTCTCACGTCTCTGATTAGATAACTGTACAATACAATGTGAAAAAGAAAACACCGACATTACATTCTAAAATTGAAACATACATTCAATGGAACTATAAAAAAGAAAAAGATTTACACGAAGACTCATGAAAAGATACAAAGAGAGAACACAAGGTGTTCCAGAAAGTAAAGCGTTCTTTGCTTTATCGCCGTCATCCGTCATGCGAATCTGTTTAATTCCCATTAAGTAGTGTTTCGTCCTCCACTCAAGAACGAGGTAAACAAAAATGGAATTACCAGCCATACTAACACGCATCAAATACGTCCAACTTTATATCACACAATGAAATAAGATCATTAAAACGACCGTAAAACTTCCCCATAATCCTCATCAAGTTGCAACTCTCGAAATCCCTTGTTGTGAATTTGCCTGTCAGTTGCCAATTTCTTTCTCAAAAATTGTTATATTGGGAACAGGACCTAGTATATCCAATAAAACGCTTAATGCAAATTCGATATGTTGGTGGTAAATGATTGTTACTATCCAGAAATGGAAAATTCAAGTTAGGGAAGTTGAAATCATCACACTTGTCAAGTTATGGTGGAAAGCTCGTTTCGTTGTAGGAATACATCACGGCAGATATAGAAGAGTCTGTTGTTTTCTTGATTTCCAATTCTGGTGGTTATGTGCGATTGCCATGGTTAAAAAAATCTTCTTTTTTGAAGAAGTTACCAATATATCTAAAAGTGAAATTAAGAGCCTTCCCTAGGTCTGTGTGACCTGTTGTGATAAACTTTCGATTCAAGCAGCCACGTATGTTAAAAAGACACATACACGTCAGTCAGGAAAAGGGCAAATATTGTTCCCAATTTGTTGGAAGATACATTTTACTGCAACTAAAATTGACGAAGGTATTGTCAATCAGAAATTAGATTATTTTTGGGATTTCGTCGTCCATAAAAATATGTATGTATGTATGTATGTATGTATGTATGTATGTATGTATGTATGTATGTATGTATATATCTTCTTTGATTTAGATGTATGTTTCACGAAATACGTTTCGGCAAAGCTCACATCCATATATCTGTACCGCCGTTCATTTTTCTTTTTGCCCAGTCTGATAACAATAAAACGAAACTTCAGTTTAGAACAATCGAATGTTCTTATGGGAAATATGGTTTTAGAGGTTTCTGTAGAAGATAGGTCTAAAGTTCACCCATCTTTAATTCTTGAGTAAACAGGATCATTATAAGATCATTATGGAAATATTCCATACGAAACAGTCCAGTAATGAGAATAGATGAGGTTTCATATACCGGACACGTAGTGGACAAAACCTGAAAGGTTATTTATACCAGACATGTAGTGTTTAACACAGGAAAGGTTATATACACCAGACATGTGGTTGTCAACCTAATAGAACAGGAATATTATATATACCAGACATGTGGTTGTCAACATAAAAGAACAGGAATATTATATACACCAGACATGTGGTTGTCAACCTAATAGAACAGGAATATTATATATACCAGACATGTAGTTGTCAACATAATAGAACAGGAATATTATATATACCAGACATGTGGTTGTCAACATAAAAGAACAGGAATATTATATACACCAGACATGTGGTTGTCAACCTAATAGAACAGGAATATTATATATACCAGACATGTGGTTGTCAACATAATAGAACAGGAATATTATATATACCAGACATGTAGTTGTCAACATAAAAGAACAGGAATATTATATATACCAGACATGTAGTTGTCAACATAATAGAACAGGAATATTATATATACCAGACATGTAGTTGTCAACATAATAGAACAGGAATTGTTATATATACCAGACATG